GCTAGTTTTTTAGGTGTCTTACCTATCCTCACCCCTCCCTTGTGTGCTCTCGCTTTTATCATGTGGTCAAAGTCCAATCCCCTTGTTGTGTTTGCCCTTGATCTAATGTCCACATATGAGGGAGAACATACGATTTTTGGTCTTTTGAGCCAGGCTAACCTCACTCAGAATGATGTTCTCCAATTCCATCCATTTACCAGCGAATGATAACATTTCGTTCTTCTTCATGGCTGCATAAAATTCCATTGTGTATAGATACCACATTTTCTTGATCCATTCGTCAGTGCTGGGGCATCTTGGCTGTTTCCATAACTTGGCTATTGTGAATAGCCAAATCACCATTTATAACAATTATTGATTCACAAATAATTGATCCACAGAAACAGTCTTTATCACTTTTTCAATCCATAGTTTGAAAGATATTGCATTAAAGTAAGCAATTTTCTTTTTAAGTGCCAAACTTCATGTTTTTTTGGTCTACAATTGTTTTCCAAGAAATAAGTCTCCTACAGAGGATATTAATGACATTACCTGTTTTGATGAAATCATTAGGAAGGTAAATAAATTTTGTACTCCAGTAGTACCATGTAATTTATTAATAGCACATGTATTAAGCACATAATAGTGTCTAGTATTGTTAAGTTTTCTATAATCTATCTATCTATCATTTACCTACCTACCTATCTGAGTTTTATCATCTAGTCCTCATAATTACCTTGGGAGGTACAATTGACGATCAGAGTAGTATATCATATTTCCCAAGAGTAGCACAATAAATGGTAGAGCCAGAATTCAGGTTTGGGATTTTATTTATTTTTTAATTATTGTTGGGATTGTTTTAATTAATAATCGCCCTCTTACTCATAATCCTAGTTATTATTTTTAAAATTTGACAAAAATATTACTTTTTGTGATGAATAAACAAGAAAACAAACAGACTAGCAATGAAAAGCAAAGAAAAACAGATTTGTAATGATGACTGCCACATAATGCAAAATAAGATTTCTTGATAAAGTAATTTTCTCTTTCAAAACAAAAAGAAAAAGGAAGGAAGGAAGGGAGGAAGGAAGAAAAAAACAGAAGAAAGAAAAATGAATTTCTCCAGAGCCATAGATAGAAAAACTTCCTGTTCTACTTAAACCTTACATAATTAAATTTTCTAAGAGTTTTCTTTTTGTGAAAAAAAGAAGCAGATATACAAGGAATAATATCTTTTCTACAGGCCAGGATATTTTAGCAAGTCAAAGGAAGCCAAACATGAATGAAGAGTGTAATTGTCCTTTCATTTTTTATAATAATTATGTTTGTTGAAGAGAAAAATGCAGGAAAAATGACCATCATACCTGGTTTTGAAGAAAAACTTGTTTTTATGTGTAATACATTGGAGATATTGTTTGTGATTACTTTGACTATGCAGAAATGTAACTGCCAAAATTCTTAACCAAGGTGTAGAGTTATTGGAGCCATGAAACTAATTAAATGACTATTTGTGAAAGTAATTCCCTTATTTCATTTTTTCCAATCCCTCTCTGTAAAAGAGGAAGTATTTTAAACAGAAAATAATGGGTGCAGTGGCTTTTATGAACTATTTTTTCTCTCCCCAACTCTTGCCACATTCCTATGTTTAATACCAGACAGTCTCTGTTGCTTTCTTCTTTTCTCTTTCTCTTTCCCTTCCCCTTTTTCTCTCCATCCTCTTTTCTTCTTTCCCCTCTTCCTCTTCTCTCTTCACCACTCTTCCTCTCTACTCTGTCATCTCTTCTGTTCCTTCTTTCATTTCACATTCTTACATGGCATCTTTACAATTTCCATTATAATCTTTGTTCTCGTATGATAAAGGAGATTTTTGAATCTTCTAAGTAAGGTGTTTAGGGGCCTTGTTTTTGCTCTTTAAAATAGTTTTCTAGAAAAAAATAGCTTTTCTGCCTTCTTGCTTCTCTTTCTCCCATATCTCAAACACACAGCTTCAGAAAGAAATATTGTCTTATTTCTGGAAAATGTTGAAATGTTGGTTTTACTTTGTATCTTCTCATAAGATTTGTTTGTTATTATATGACCATTACAGAGAAAATCCAAGAAAACCTACCCTAAAGTTGGCATTGACCCAGATAGTTCTGCCACATTAATTATCAATAAGCCTTTGTAAACATACTTTTATTCAAAGAGATGAACTTTACAATATATTATCACTAGGTCATGCTACCCCAGTTCTCCAACTGAAAGCAAACAGTTGTACTGGATCTAAGGCTCATTGAACTCTAGGTGAGAATTCTAAAACCAGCATCCTTAAGGGTGCTCAGACAAGGTTGAATAGAATGAACTTGGATTAAAAGTGCTGCTATGAAAACAGAGAGAGGTAAAAAGTTCTTTCAGTGATGGTAGAGTACAATAAGATCATGATCAATAATAGCTACATGATTCAGATGTGTCGATGAAGCTTCCCAATAATTCTGTGAATAGACATATTTGATTGTTGAATTAGGATATAAAAATAACTGCAGACACATTACAACTATGTTATACAGCTATCAACTTTTTTGGTTTTGTTCTATGACTTTGAGCTTCATATCTAACCATTGTCAGCCTCCTTGATCACCAGTGGGAATTGTCAGAGAGAAAATGAGCACACTTCCACCAGTTTATAATCCATTTATGTATTACTCTTAATTTCACTATTTGTCTATCCAACTACTTCTAATGAAGATACATACTTCATTTCTCATTATCTTTAATCCCTTGTTAAATAGTTTCGTCAAATGTCTGCAGAATAGAAGCCAATTGTGCACACAATGTCAGAATGATTTTACACTGACAATCTGCTTTAAGGACATATTTTCTGGGTTGTATGAATTTTCAGGTAAGGGGGAAGGGAACTAACATTTATTGAGTACCTACATATGTTATCTCATTTAATTCTTACATGAGCTCCATCAAGTGATGATTACATTTAGATAAAGTATTTGAAGTCAGGAAACAATCATATTAAAAGAGCAAAATCACCACAGGTTCTTATGTAAAGGGAAATACTTTAAGAAGATGCCAACTTATCCTTGCCATTATAGTGGGCTGAATTGATAAATAAGTAGGATGTGAAGATATAAATAATAAAATTTGAATGATAGGACAAGAACCATTTACCACTTGCCTTGCCTCCACAGTGAATTTTTCACAATAATTCATCTAAAGATGTAAATACTAATGTAATTAGTGTTACTTTATTGCATGCTATCTCAGAAAAGACAAAAAACTATTCTGCCTAAGTAGGTAAAGGAGTCTTGGTAGAACCACAGACAGAAACTATTTTTTATCATATGTACATATCTGTGTATATATACATATATATATACATGTATGCATATACATGTATATAAACAGATATGTATATATACATATACATGCATATATATAGAGAGAGGGGAGAGATATGTATGTACATGCATATATATATATATATAAATATACATATATATATATATGGGGTGGAAGAGAGAGAGAGAGAGAGAGAGAGAGTTTTTTTTGTTGTTATTTTTGCTTTTTGTTTTCAGTTGGGTCCCACTGTGTTGCCCAGGCTGAACTCCAACTTCTGTACTCAAGTGATCTTCCCCACTCAGATTTCTGAGTAGCTGAGACTGCAGAGACATGCTACCACATTTGCCTTTAAAAAAAATGCTAATAATTTTTGTAGAGATTTTGTTAAGCACCTAACACTATGGCTGATTTATAATAGGTGCTAAATAAATATTATTGAGATGAATTGTGGAAATAAATACATACATATTCATTTATTTATTCTTTATTTCAATCAACAGACATTTAATGAGGGGTTACTATATTTCAGGTAGACATGTTTGGGATTTATTTTTTAATTAATTCAATAATTTTATTACTATGTTTGAGTTTTAAATGTTAGTAGCACACTAAAGCTAGTTTTAAGTAGCTTAAAATTCTAATGAAGAGATAGGTAAAGAGAGAAATGACAACCGAATATTAGTATTAGAATAAAGATTTTATGAATGAGATAGGAAACATAGAAATTTAACATTTACCAGGAAGAATTAGGGAAGACTGCATTGAGTAGGTTAACATTTAAGCTGCTTCTTACAGGAGCAGACGGGATTTGCCTGGAGGGGACATGGAAATAGAATATTTGAAGTTGAGGTTATAGTTATTTGTGAAAGCTTCTAGACATTAAGAGGACCTGGTATGCTTTGAGAATTGTAAGTTCAACATGGGGCAGAGGGAATGGGGAAAAGGATTAGGTTGAAAAAATATACTTGAGATTTTGGTGGTGCAATTAACTGTTTCCTAATATGAACATGGAAAATGTTTAATTTCAGCAAAATGTATATTTTTCTTTGGTTTTTGAGACTGGGTCTTGCTGTGTATCCTAGTTTGACCTTGAACTCACAATCCTCCTGTCTCTGCCTCCCGAGTGCCCATCACACCCCGTGTATTTTCCTAGGGAATTACCTGTTCTATTAGATCTCCATGATATATACTTTTTAGTGCCTTTACAGAGTAGATGAGATATTAAACTGCTAAAATGATTTAGTTGTTTAGCATGTAACATGAAATGAAAGGGCTTTGGAATGATGTGTTGCAAAAATTACAAATCACTTTTCCTTAAATGATCCTTTTTGATTTGCTTTTTGAACTTTCTTGTACTTTGCTAGCCAACTGTAGATCAGTGAAAAGTTTCTAAAATCTAAGAAGTAAAGGCACTGGATTTTAACCTAAGTACTTATGGTTAATATTTCTATTTTTAAGAGAAAAATATGAATATATAAAATATGTGAATGCATATCATCTTGATACCTTCAGGAAATGTTAGCTGAGTATAACTTTGGTTTCTTTGTTTCTTTCAGCTACTTATTATATATACTTTTAAGGCTTTATTTCAGATGCAGTTTTCATTTTTATATAAAGAGAAGGTCAGGCTTTGCAATACTTATTATTTTGTTTTCTTCTAAAGAAACACCTCAGAAGCTCCAAGCTTCATTTTAGTGAAATTATAGTTCCTTTGACTTGAAATTGTATGGCTTGGTCACTACCAGATTACAGAGAGCATGATGTGCTTTACAAGCCAAAAAGTTTTCTAAGTAACAGCAGCAGTGAAAATTGTCAGAGAAACAACTAATTAATCTCTGTTCCTTTACAGCTGTTTAATGCAATGCATAACTAAAAGTCCTGTTAAATTAATTAATGATTTCAATTATGAACTTTTCTCCAAAATGTTATGATTTGTATCAGGCTGATAATGCAGTGACCTGGGAGTGTGAAATCTGTGTTAGGAAGAGAGTCGCCAGTTAATTGATTCACAAATTATTTAAAGTTTGTTGCACCCAAGGGAGTGCTCAGTTTCACGACAGCCATTTCATAAAGTGTACAAACTCCTTTTTCACCTTAAGAATGTCTTCAGTTATTAAGCATGATAAAATACCAGCATGTTTCTAGACCTGTGAGTAACCTTAACATTTATGATTTAGAATTTGTAGGTGAATATGTAGAGACTAAATCTATGAGGGAAGGAGGAAAAAAGTTCGCTAAACTTAATGATTCTCCTTTGTGGCAGTTTTTTCATTGCTTTTAGACTAGTAATTTTAAATAGTTTTTTAAACACCACTCCTTTTTTTTCTGTGTGTTTGCTGTACATCAAACACATTTCATGTTAAAAGACAATATAATTGGCTTCTGTGCCATCTGGTCAGAGCCTACCACTTTCTTTTACAGTACCTTACTTTCCTTTTCCTTTCAATAAAACTCTACTACTGCTTTGTAAAATAAATAAATAAATAAAAATAAATGATAATATAATTATGAATTCTTAAAAAGCTCTCATGGGTACCAACACAATAAATATTGCTTCAGTAATTGCTAGTTAAAGCATTTGAGTTACCAGTGAGTTGTCAGTGAGTCAGTGTTGGAGAGGGTATTGACATCTAAATGCAAGAGCATCAATTATTATAAGATACTTTGAGTCTTTTTTTATAGTAATATAGGAAAAAAAATTAAAGGTGTCAAAAAATTTGCTTCCAGTCTGGTTATTCACCCATAGCTTAAATAACCAATAAAAATACACACACATACAGGGAGAAAGGAGGCAATATCATCACTATTTTATTATGTATTTGTTAAAGTTTTGTTGATGTTTTTATGATGGAATCAGGCTGATTTTCAGTGGATGAGGTGGCCAGAAGAGAGAATCTTTTCTTGAGTGGCCACACCTAACCAAGGTAGAAGGTAAAGAGGTGGCTTTGAGGAAAGAGTCTTAAGCAGGCTTAGAGGGCAGCAGGAAGTTCACATGAGTGTTGGCCTCATTAAAGGAGAGGCTCTAGACTCTCCTCTGTTCACACACATATTTGGACTTTATGAATAGTTAAAAAGTCCACTGCTTTTAAGGTAGCTAAGCACTTAACAGTTTCATTCCACTTTGATAAGCAGTTTGAATTTTTTAAATTTAATATGAAAAACAAATTTTCCTCAGCTCTCAATAGGTAAGTGTATTTACAGGATAGAGCAGGAAGCCTATATTCTGGACAGACACTATGTTTTCAAATTTCACTTTTTCTGGTGGCCTTTTCTGTTTCACTTTCAATTTTTTGACCCAAGAAAACTGCCCAAAGAGAAGACAAAATAGAGAAACATTATTTTAAAAAATAAGTTTGTCTTTGTTGAACTTGCTTCAGGGCAAAAAGAAGTGGACTTGAAAGGAAAGTAAATTTATACTAATTTTTGCATTGTAGGAAATGTACTATTTTAGACACTGACTGACTGCTTCTGTTTTCTAAAATTAAGGAGCCTATAATCTCAGCACCATTAACAAGTGCTGTCATTCAGATACACAGTGTCTGGCTGATTTAAATAAAATGAAATGAAGATAGTTGTTTCTGGTCCCTTGGCTTCACTCATTGCCATAAACATATGCTCTGCGTCCCGCTTCTTTCCATCTTATTTATGACTTTAATTTGTTGTGTGGGCTGCGCTAGAAATTAAATTTAATATAATTCTCCAAGGGACCCTGTCATATAATAACATGGTAATTTCTGTGTATCCTTTTGAAAAATGAGGAAATTAATTCTTCCTGACATGTTCTAATTATTCCAGTGTGAACGGCAAATCCGTTTTTCCTAGCCCCTGAAGTGTTATAGGCAAATGGCTGGTGTTCAAAGCTGAGGTGCTAATGCTGACCAGCAGTGCGTTTAATTTGAAACATGAGCAGACACCTTTCAACACACCTTTGTAATATTGAAGTACTTTACAGAAATTAATTCACTACTTATTTGGCAGCTTAGCCTTGGGGTTATGTTTTTTTATTCATCAATACTACAGCCATGTTAGCATAATGCTTCCTATTTCCTTCAGTGCATGGCATCTATGTATGAGACTCACAGTGTGCAATGGATTGTTCAGCTGCGCAAATGAGGAAAAATTTAGACATTTCAGAAATACAAGTTGTGTGCCAAGTTGTGTTTACACTTTACAGAGAGGTATAGCAAGGTCTTGCATGTTAAACTTAATTACAGTCTATGGTTAGCAGCTTTAAACTGGGACAACCTTGCAGTGAAGAGACAAATATACTCTGCTTCCCTGATGGACAGTTCAGATGTGAAAATCCATTTTGTTTTACATAAGGAATGATGCCATAAATAGTCAGCTTGTGAATAAAATTTATGGAACAGGAATCTCAAGATCTGACTGCCAGGAAGGAAGTAGCTGTACCTTGGGAGATAAAGGACTAAAACCATTTTTGGTGCTGTTGACAATGTGTGACTTATTATTCATTCAGCTCAATTGGAAGTCTCTGGTATTCTTTAGAGGAATTACAAGAAGAATTGGCTTTATCTGTGATCTTTATTGTAAAACTGGCTATTACATTTCACCAATCAAGTCAATCACTGTGTCAGCCCTGATACAATTTCTTTGTTTTAGTGAGAAGTTAATAAATGCCATTACACATTCACCATTTATTGTTATAATTAACAAGAAAAATGAATGCATGCAATACTATTTAAAATAGGAGATAGAAATACAATTAAACTTAGATAAAAGAAGTAGAATTGTGTTTGGAGTGGCTATAATCAAGGCTCTCTGTTTATCTGTTTTTATATCTCCATATTACATTCCCTTTACATGTTAACTTAAATAGGAGAATTGGGAATGTAGCATAATTATTCTGATAAATAGCATTAATATTGCCCATATTTTTTCTGCTGACCATTCAGCTGCTAGATATTTAGTTTTATTCTCTCAGTCAAATCTACTGGGAGCTACTGTCAGGTTTAGATTCTTGAAGCTTTTCTTTCTACTTTATTAATAGAAAGTGTGGGCTTCTTTTGGCTGGACACTGGGGAGAACATAACAACATGATTTTTTCCCATTCAAGTACATATGCCTCTGTACTGTTCTCATCAGGGCAAGGATATACTAAGGTTATTTCTATGACTTCCTAGGAGTAGGATTTGGAAGGACATTGGGAAGTAAAGTAGAAGCAAGTATATTCCTTCCTAGACTCATAGACTATACAGTTGTTCAAGATTTTCTAATCATGGACTTCTCTTTATGCCCTAGGAAAGGAAGAATAATCTATTGCCCATTTGGTCCTTATTTTTCTTCATTATTTTTCCCCGCTGAAATTATAGAAAGATCGTCACCAAAGAGCAGAGATATAGGCTAGATCAGATCGTGATCCTGGAAGACCCAGATCCTTTTTCAGAGCCTGATACACTATTTATATGAGTTCTAAAAAAGAATTGAGGATTTGCTTTTTTCCTAATACTTTAAAGGATCCATAAAAGCTGTTGACTTAATTAAAAGCTGTCATATATGCAATTATGCATATACCTAGTTCCATTCTCTTTCTAGGAAAGAAACTACAAACATTTTTATATGTTTTCATCTCAGGATGCTGCAATCAGTGTGTCCAGCAAAATGAATTAAAAGAGGTAAATATCCCCAAATTATGACTTTTTTTTCTTTTAAAATATTATTTAGGTTCGGTTTTTTAAAATCATTTTAATTGTTTAGTAAAATATCGAGTTAAAATGGCTAGAAAAATGTTAAACATTTCTATATACTTTTAACTTGAATCAAAGCAACTTGAGACTTTTGTTAAACTCTATTTAAAATTAGATAACTTATAGTATATTGTTCTGCATATGTATATGTATATCTGTATAAATGGGCACACATTCACATACATAAACACACATTTCCAAATGGCCTGTACTTAATTTCTCTCTCCTCATTAAACTCATTAATACCTTCCTTTGCACCAGTATGTTTGTTTCATAAAGTACAGTTTGCAAGCTTATCCAGCTTTTTAAAAAATCAATGACTAGAATTAAGAACAAGATCTTCCCTACATTTATATATGCTTATATTTTCATAGCAGTAACAACAACAAACTTTTATTGAGAAAATGCTATATGGCAGCCTCTGTACTAATTACTTTATATCAAGTATTTCACGTGAAAGTGCAGGTAGTTTTGTGTGTGTGTGTGTGTGTGTGTATGTGTGTGTGTGTGTGAATGTTTTTCTCATCAGTTTAAAGAAACTGAGCACAGACAGGTTAAATAATTTGCCTAAATTATATAGTTTACAGATAAGGGATGAATATTTTAACATACTGAGTGCTTAGAACAGTGTCTGGCCATCCTTCAGTGCTAGTTTCTATTATTGTTCTTGTGACAGAATGCTTGGGGGTCCTGAGTTTCAACCAATATTTGTTGCTTTACTCCGTTATTATAATAACGGAGATTGTTATAGTGATGGAAAAATTAGACTACTTGGTCTTAAACCTAGGTATTGGTGAGTTTTAATCTTCATTAATATAAACAGATATTCTTTGAATACTTACGTGAAGTTTTCTTTTAGTTCTACCAGGTATATAAAATCTTTCTGCTGCCATGTAGCTTATAATATAATGGAGGTGGGTGTGGGGTATTGACAAAGATATTAATGACTAAAATTCTAAGATAAGACTAATTCTATTTTATATTTTAAAATATTCAAGAAGAGAATTTCTAGAGCCCTTACATTCTTTTTTTTTTTTTATGTGTAAAGTGGGAGAGCTTATCGAGATAGAAAAATGTAAAGTAAGAGAGTAGAGCACCCAGAGTTGGGGGTGGTTCCCAAGAGAGATGCGCCAGCTCTTACATTCTTAAATGAGCCCACAGTCTTAACTAGATTTTATACTTGTTTCATGGAAGTTAAAATTCTGTGATTTGATCACATTTTGTGTACAAAGTTAATGGAGGATGATGGACTATGATGGAAAATTGGCTGTCCTACATCAGCCCTGCCTTGTATTGTGATCTTCAACTTTTCTCAGATCAAAAGAAGGCAGGTACAGGTATTGAGCTCACGACGTTTGACCTCGACTGGTTTTTCTAAGTTATTTTGTACATTTTTCAGTAGCAAAACCAAACTGGGTCTTCAACTTTATCCCTATTTCTTGGAAGGGAAGAGTCTTTATAGAATTGGACTCATTTTTGGTTTTTTCCTCAGAGAGTTTTAACCTCTTTTGTTTTCCTAAAATTTGTAAACATATTTATTTTTACCTTTTTTTTTTAAAGGAACTTTATTTAACATTAAAGTCGGGGAGGGAATCGGAAGGGAAGTGGCTTCGTTTTGTAGTGTTCACGTTTCTGCTCTCGCTTCTGCAGCTGAGCATAATGTGCAGGTCTTCTGGGCCTTTTTCTTCTCTTGGGGTAAAGCCGCAGTGCCCAGGGGCTTGTCACTGGAGCTCATCCTCAGAAGTGCCTCCTCACCCAGCTTCTTCTCTCCACTCTGTGTTCATCTTGCTACAGCCCTTCCCATGGAACTGGTGGCACAGCTGCTGGAAAGCCTCCTTGGGTGTGAGTTTCTTGCCCATCTCACCCACATACTTGATCTTAACATCAGGCTTGTAGCCAAGACTTCTCGAAATCTTAGGTGAAGCCACAGTATTCCTCCCACCAGCCGTACTTGTAGATGGCTGTATTATCCTCTGTATTAGCCATGCAGTACATACATGGTTGAGTGTGGGGCCTTGGGAACTTTCATCTGGGCCACTTTCTGCACTGTGGTCTCTAGCAGCCCTTCGTTCTGACATAAGACCAGGGATGTGGCCAGCTTTATATTCACAATAGACTCCTTGTTCAGGATGGTGGTGAAGGAGGCAGAAAAGTCCTGCTTCTCATCCAGGCTGACCTTCTCCCAGTTCTATTTAGAACCATCACTGACTGGCTTAGTGCTCATCGTCCAGCTCAAAGTTCATGAGCTCCTTCTGCTACTCTTGGTTGCTGGCCAGCATGTATGTGGGGGTCTCCCTCAAGGTGTGACAGAACTCCAAGGTGACAATGAACACAGTCCCTTCCCACTGGAGATCCTTCTCCCAACTCCACCCAAGAGACTGAAGCTGCTTCACAATCTCCACCACCTTCTGGCTGCAGCATTCCACTTGCTGTAGGTGCTGCCACCCTTTCTGCACCTATGCTCTCATCCTCCTTTAGCTCTGGTGACTTTGATGGCAGAGTGCCATCATCCACTTTATCGTTGATGTCCATGTTCTCCCTGTGTCATCAGGCTCAGGCTGGGACATGGGCTCCTTCTCATCCTCTACGACCCCTTCCTCCACTTTGGACACCTGGTGCAGACCCTGGCCCAGTGATCAGCAACCGAAGTCCCCCATCTTGAGTCTGATCCTCAAGAGGCAGCAAGTCATCTGTTAGCACATCCTCCTCATGGATTTTCTTCACCCTCCACTTGGTCTTTTTAAAGGTAACAGTCTCCTCAGGTTGAAAGTGCTTAGAGGTGAGCCTAGCTACAGGTTGGCTGGAATCTCCTCCAGCTCACGTTCTCAAAGGCAACTGGCCATGCCACAATGGTACAAATTGAAGGAGTGCAACCACTTGCCCTCCTGCTCATCACAGTATTTGGCCAGTAGAGAGGTTCTTTCTGTGCCAAGTCATCCATGCTCATCCTCTGCTTCTTGCACAGCTCCACATTCTTCTCTGCCAGCTCTCTACCCACCAGCATATCCTCCTCCTGAAGCATGTGTCCTTGAGAGTGAGGAGGGCCTTTCTTAGAAGGAATCAATGTCATACTCCATAGCAAGACCCTGTTGCCTCTGCCCAAACCAGAGTACTGACACTAAACTTTTGGTCCATATCCTCCATAGTTTAGGACTCTTTGCCAGTCATTCTTTTGTAGTGATGGACTCTTCTTAGTCCAGGCTGTGATATCATGGAGCCAGGGGCCATCCTCTCCCAAGTGTCTTTATATTCCTGAACTTTGGGTTCAATGGTTGCTTTTCAGCCTCCAGCTTCTCCCACAGCATTCTCTCTGTTGCAAGGCCACAGGGTTGATGACATCGGCTGCCTGGGTCTCACCATGGTGCCAGCTTCTTTCTTGATAACAATGACCTCCAAGGGTTTCAGTCCCAACTTTGCCGGGAGTTGGGTCTCCACAATGGTGAAGTGACAGGGCATCTCTTGAACTAGCCTGAGCTGGGATCAGCTTCAAAGCAGTCATTGCATTTCTCCAGTTGGCACATCCTCCCTTGCTGTGAGCACTGGACTTGGTTGTGCTCCCACCAGTGGTTGGTTCTGGGGGCCTGGCTTCGGTCCCCTGCTCACCCCTATGTTTCTGGCCCTGCTTCCATCTTTCACCGCCACTGGTGGTACCACTCCTGGTGCTTTGTTTCTTGTGCCCCCCAATGCTGCAGTAGCAGCTTTGCTTCCAGGCACCACCGTGGTGGTCCCAGCCACCTCTCTCCACGGGGCTTCTTTGACAATCCCACGGTGCTACAGGTTATGGGGTTGCAAGGCAGCTGCTGTCTTTTTTGCCGGCAATGAAGATAAGCTACTTTAGTTCATTTGCTTCACTGCGCCTTGGAGCCTCTGTTTTTTTTTTTTTTTTCCCCTTTTGTAATTTTCAGGTCAAGATTTTACGTGCATTTGTCAAAATAAAGATTCTCACATAATGAAAAAAAAATTCTGTGATTTGATCATATTTTGTGTACAAAGCCAAGTGGGGTGATTTCATATATATTTAAGATTCTAGCTGGATCTGTATATGGGGATGACACTTAACAAAACAGCAAAGTGACATTTACTGAAAACTTCTCATGGAAAAGGCATAGAATTATTCACTGCTCCAAATGCACTTTGATTACATTTAAAAACATAATCTAACAGAAGTAAATATACATATACAAATTGTTTATACTATATACAATTATTGATATTCATGTCTTTTTTTTTTTCAGTGTGTGTGGGAGTTTTGAACTTAGGGCCTCACACTTTCTAGGCAGATGTACTGCCACTTGAGCTACTCCACCATCTTCATGTCTTCATTTTTAATAAATATTTTCAATGCCGTTTTGCAATAGAGTACTGAAGAAATAATACCTACAGTTTTATTGGCAGAGCAGATGAGCTCTCAGTTAATAATAACATTAAGTCTCAACTATATTGAATGCTAGTTCACTACATATTGGGCCATGAAGTATATAATAATTCTATACCTTTGGTAGCTGGTTAAATATGTAAGTTAGTTTGCTGCTGTCTAATATCTAATATAAACCTGAACACAAAAGAACACTCAGGTAAAATATAAATATATCTTTAAGTATTTATGACAACCACTTTTTCTGTGACTAATTCTATAAATTCAATTATAATATTTTTCTATAAAGTATTTTTAATGTTTAATGTTTATGAATGATAGATATGGCATCTCAGACAAATATTTGATATAATTTTCTTTTGGTTTGCAAAGTATTTATTCAGACTTGCTTATGAACCAGGTATTATTCTTAGAGCTGGAGATTCACATTTAATTAAAAAGGATTCTTTATATCAAAGAGTTTATGGCTTAGAGGGAGAGATAAAATAATGCATAAACAATTATAGTACAATGCAATATACTACAATAAAGTCTACATAAAGTATTATGAGAG